CTCCTCATTGTATTTGATGTTGTGAGTTGCCTTTAATGTGTTTAAGGTCTAAACAATAAAATTTTTAAAAACCAACTTTAGTTTTTACTAAAGAGTCTGGAAACCTTTTTCTTCCCAAAATATATTGATTTAAAATTTCTCCTTTGCCTTTTTTTTTTGTTTGTTTCAGGTAGAAGGTTATACTTGTGGGTTTAACTCACAAAGATATATTCCAAAGGGCAAGGGAAGTATGTGTGCAATCTTCTCGACACAATAACTAGCACTGCATAATTGGGTAGTAGTAAGAATGGTGAGAAGCTGTATTTGAAACAAAATAAATTCTTGCAATAATAAAAAAGTTCCAAGTCCCAACTGTGGACCTAAACACACTAACCTGGGTATCTTTAAGATAAAAATAGTTTAAAACTAGTCAGTAGATTCTTTAAAAGAAGAGATAAGAATAATGGTGAAGATTACCTACTCATGCTTAAATAAAATGTCAAAGGAAAGTATGCCCAGTGGAATCTCGGAAAAAAAATTGTTGAGGTTGATTCTGATTAGAAAACAGAGATTTGAGAAATTATTCTGATTCCATAGATATGGCAATTTGCTATTGGCAGGCAAGCAGGGAAAGCAGGAAGGCAGAAAAGAAAATTTTGGGGTAGAAAGATTGGCTCGGTACAGTGAATTCACTGTGTAGTTTGCTAAGAGTTAGAGTTGGAGAATTGAGATGGTTTGAGAAATTGCTAGAACTCTAACAACTTATTATTGAGATCAAATGTCAGCTCCATAGCCTGAGGTTTGTCTGATACAGCATGTTAATAACTGACTCAATTGTTGCTTAATATATTACATAAAACCAACAAGGAATATCATGGGTGAAACACACCGTTGTTGGTTTAGAGTTTTCTGAGTCCTGTGTTTTCTGAATACTGTGTATGTATACCATGTTCATTTGAAGTTTTTATCCTTTGACCCAAAGACAATTATGTGCTGCTTTCATGAGGCATTTGATTGAGTAAAAGCAAGCTGTTAGAGTTGGAAGCAAAGACTACAATTTTTTTTTTTTGCAGTACTAGGGTTTGAACTCAGCTTACACCTTGAGCCATTCCACCAGCCCTTTTTTTGTGAAGGACTTTTGTCAAGAGAGGGTCTCTCAAACTATTTGTCTAGCCTGGCTTTGAACAGCAATCTCCTGATCTCTGCCTCCTGTGTAGCTAGTGTTACAGGCATGAGCCATCAGTGCCCAGCCAGGACTGTGATTTTTTTTTTTTAAATATAAATATGCCCAGAGCAAGAAGCCACATATAGGCACTTGTATACTTTAGTGATGGTGTTGATGAAGATGATGAAATTCTTGGAAATACTTCTGTTAAAGGCAGTAAGTAGTACAAAATACTGCTAGAGACCAGAATGTAATTGTGTCCTTGGGAACACAAGGAAGTTTAATGTGATCACAACCATGTGATCATCAGTTTTGAAGATAATAAAATGCCTTCACTTCTTAGCATATATGACCTGGTTTTCGTTTCTTTTGAAGGTAAAAATGCCCTCTTTATGGAAGCAGTTGAACGAGTTTGTTGTTTTCTACTTCTGTGGGTTTTTTTCTCTCTTATTTTCTCAGAAGGCAAGCAATTTAATTCCTATACTAGGGAAAGAATGTTATGATAGATACTACTAGAAATGGCAATGTCAAATTTTGACAGAATGGTTATTTCAAGCCAAGAACAAATCGCTTTTATGACAGAAAATTTTGCCTTACTTCTTTTGGAGCTGAAAGCTGTGTATCTACTAGACAAACTGAGAGTAAATTTTCCTAAGATAAATAGTGAAAATATTTAAATAAATTGCCCTAAGCATAATTACTTGGATAAAAAAATGAAATTTTAAAAGTGTTGTTTGAAAAGAAATTTTCTCCCAGGAGACTTTTCACATGATCATTCTATTTTACTTCCATATGGAGTCTGTAAAGATGCCCAGTAAATCCACAAGGCTTTATGATTGACCTCCAGAAATAAAACAGGCCTGGACTATTAAGAGAGACCAATTGTGTAATTTCTGAAGTCTTTGTGGGAGATGCCCCATTTTCAAGGCTGCCATATTTTCAGTGTCACAGGGGTTACAGTCAACACTCAAGTCAAGATTTCTTTTCCTATGAATGGAAATGTGAGTTGTAGTTTTTTTTAGACACATTTTTTTGTATTCTCCAAAATCTGACTTCTATCTTCATTATGGACATTGTGAATTTGTTAAAATATTTAAAAATGTTTGACTTCAAGTATTCTTCCCATTTACTAAGGAATGATACCATTGCCTCTGTTTTCACTTGAGGTCAATTTTGCTCACTATTTAATAAAATTTGGGGTTTTTTTTCAGCTTAATATACAACTCACTCAATTTATGCTATATGATTGAGAAAATTCGTTTTCTTAAATTTTCTTTTTGTATCTGTTATGAAATCATATTCAGTTCCTAGCATCATTTACTCATAGAGTTCTCAAAAACCTTTATTTTTATTCACTATGCATGATTTAATCTTGAGACTGAGAGCTCATGTGATCATCCTTCAAATATGGCTCAGAATGAGGTACCTCCTGCTGAGAGCACCATTTTCCCACTAGCTATTACTGGGAACCATGGTGAGCAATAAAGAAAACTACACCAAGTGAAACTGCCTGTTCAAAAGTGCTGGTTTATTTCAAAAGCAGTATTGATATTTTCAGAATCTCTATTGTGTTCCTCAGTGATACACTCTACCTGATAAGGGGTATAATCACTTAACACTGGCATTGTGTTCTTACAACTACATTCAGCTGTAATTAATTCTCTGCCTCTCCCAGTTTCCTAATGATTCTAACTGTAACCAATTGAATACAGTGTCACGTGGAAGGACATGTGATTAACTCATTAGTGTGTCATGTTTTAAATCCAAAAGACCATGGAGATGTCCTACTGATTTGGCTTTATCAGATTGATGGCTTAGCATAAATATATGGCTAAGTTTGTTGCAGGAAATATCAGTAAAATAGTATGATTGTGCAACCCTGTTTCATTTTCTTATCCAACATTTAAAAAATAATTGAGAGGACTGATGAGTAATAATAGGGATTTATAATTGTGAAGTTGATTTTAAAACTTTACAATTATGTTTCTAAGTAAAATATGAAAAAAAGTTTCTTTTTTAAGGGTGGAGGCTTTTTTAAGCCTTTGGCTTTACTGTTTGGTTTTCTTTAAGTCCATTTCCTCAAGCAATTACTACAAAATGACAAGAGCTAGTAAATAATATGACTAGCATGAAATTCTCTGAAAATATCAAGAAAATGAAATTTACAAAAACATTCATTATGATTATGAGTCTAGATTGACCTAACCCTAATGCAATGAAAGTAATTTTTACCTAATACTGTTAACATTCCATTTCAAATTTCCTATTTCAAAGGATGTCTCAAATTTCTAAGATGTTAAACCAAGTATTGAACCATTTTTGTGTATGTAATAAAAGTCTTTAAAATTAAAATGGTAATCCTAAAAAAACCAAATGCATGAAAAATATGGTCTAACTGTATAACAAAAGGGAGTTATATAATTCTACTTGAGTGAAATCTTTCATCTTTGATTTACAGGTTAGAGTCCTCCCTAACTAAAACCATATTGTTCCATATCTTTCATATCGTGGCCTTTCCTAAAACCTTGTTTTAATTAAGGTTTCTTTCAGATTTCTGAATAAAAGCATGACAATCTTCACTTATGGCTTTAATATATCCTTTGAGTTAGGAAAATACATAAAAAGAAACATCAACTCTTTCAAAAGCATTGGCAGATATTAAGTATGTAAGGTATTATACCTCACTGTCTTTAGGTGTCTGAGTTATACATTGAAATAGAATTTTCAGAGGTAGAGGGAAAACTGGCTTATATTGAGTAAGCTGCTTTTAATCTCAGAAATAAATGTCCTTTATTTTTAACCTTTGTCACTAAGACAACATGTACAAAGGTTAAATATTGTGTTTGTTTTCACATGCAAGCACAGCTTCTAAGTAAACTCAGTACAAGGTGACTTCAGAAGCAGTGCCTTCATGGACACATTTCAAAGATCTTAGAAATTCAGTGACACTGCTTAAGCCCATGGTTTCACAGCTAACAGAACACAATCAGATAAACCAAAAGTGTAAACTTGGAAAAAAATTAACTTAGTTAACCACTCAAAGCCCCTGACCAATAGGGATGAGTGGTCTTTAGTTTTTCTAAAGGAAGGAGAGTGAAAGATAATTTTTTTTAAAAAAAGAAACAATGGAAGGCAGAAAAAGAAAGGTGAGAGAATAAGTTCTTAATAGATTTGGAACAAATTAAGACCATATTTGAAAGTTTGGTGCTTTCCAAAGACACTGCAAGTCATCCATGCAATATACTTTTGTAGCTGTCACCAAGTCAAGGGGGTATGGAGGGAGGGAGATCTCACTGTACAACACAGTTACAAATTGTCCCTGTGTGAAAACATGAAATGGATGTTAAAGAAGTAGGATAATTGTCTCAAAAATGTGACATAAAATATTGCCCCATTGCATAGATGAGAGATTCCCTTGCTATTTAGACTTTCAAATAGAGTGTGGTTTATTCCACTGCAAACAAGCCTCACTCCAGGTACTCCATTTTGAATTCTTACTAGGAAGGTTGAACTGTGTTTTAGAACAAAGGCAAAAAAGTAAAATAAATAAATCAAAACAAAACAAAAAACCCAAACCCATTGCCTTCTGTCTGGAATTGGCATCTATTCATAGCTGAAAGAAAATCCTACAAACAACTTAAGACTGCTTGACAAAAATTACTTAACAAAAAACTGATCAGAATGTCAGGAATGAGTATGTCTCAGGTTTTGCCCAAATTTTCCCTGCCTGTCATAACGTCTGAAATTAACAATACCTAATGCTATATTGGATGTTTCTAGTCCATATTTTGTGTCTGGGAGTAGGTCACCCAGCATAATAAAAGCACGCTGGAAGCAGTTTCTTCCAATCATGGTTTACTGTAACTTTAGAATCACAGCGGTTACGTTTCAGGAATCTTTAATGCCCTTTCAAGTCCATCCAAAGAACAAGTGAAGCTGCTGTTCAGAATTTTGTGCCCAGTGTTTATGATCCATCGAACTGTGCCACCCAGGCAGCAGACAAGACATGTCTGTGGGTGCTGGGGTAGGGGGGATACACTATGATGTCACACACAGGAAATATCATATCGGGGGAGACTTGGCACTTCACAAGGCTGGCTCCTCTTCCATGGGCTCACCAGCAGTTCTGTAAAAATAAACAGGCAATCAGAATACAGCATAAGAGTACACAATGACATTGTAGATTTTCATGCATAATCAAAGCTGATTTTTCAGCTCTCTCTGATGTTTATTTGTGTTATTCAGTTATCCATAAATAGAGTTTCTTTCCTAGGAAGTATAAACAAATGTCAAGTGGAAAAACATTTTAGATCCAAGCAATCACTGGAAACGTTCCTGTTTATATTAAAACATGTCAGAATATTTTATAACTCTAGATTCCAAAATGTACATGTTTTGTGTCTAGTACAGTCCAATAATTTATTGAAAAAAAATTAGCTACAATCTTTTATTTTAAGAGCAATTGCAGTGATTTCCTATGGAACCATTTTGCTAATGAGAGCAAAGGACCCAGCTAGCTTCTGGAGGAGACTCACCAGGGTTTCTGGTTTTTGCTTCTGTTCTTTCATAACCGGATTGGCCCTCTGCCGGAGGCATTTCAAATCAAATTCTGAATTTGATTAGCAAATCGCTGCTACAGACCCAACATTTTTATAAGAAATGCACTATGGTAGTGTGTAAATAGTTTTTACTTGGCATCATCTGTGGGGTGTTCTGCTCAACTCAAACCAAAACTAATTGCTTGAAAATTTATACTTGAGATTTAACCTTAATTTAGTAACACTTTGAGGGTGTTTTAAGGCAAACTTTTAGAATAATTTTTAATTTAGTCAAAAGAACAAATTGTAGCAGGAATCCAAATACATGAGGTAGTTGGATTGTCATGGGAAGTTGGATTACTGTGATTTAAGATGTAGGAAGAATCTAGTTTGATTCTGAGCTCTTAGATCTACAAATCTTGCAACTGCCGATGTAGTAACCAAACTTTGATGAAGCTTTGGTTTCAGGTAGAAACCCTGAGGAAAAACATGTTCTTTATAGAATTAGGGAGGGCTTAAAAAAAAGAAAAAAATGGAGGACACTATGTAAACAACAAACACTATGAGATATTAGTTATTTAACACTTCGTAGTCATCCCTTTGTCCTCTCCCATACACATAAAATCATAACAAATAGCACACATATACAGTGTTATGTCTATGCTATCAGAAAGAAACACAATAAATGCATGATGGTTATTTCTAGGTGATGGACTAATAGGTAGGTGGTTTTCATTTTCTCTTTGATATTATTTATCTACTTGCCAATATTGTGTAATGGATCAATTTCATATTAGAAAAAAATGCTGTGTTTAAAGAACAGATGCTTATGAAGACAAATGAACTAGTGAGCCATGCTATTTTACAGATGTAGAAGGAAAAAGAGTCAGGATTTCAGGGCATCTTTAAATAAAGTAGTTGACTTGTAGCTCAGCAGTTTTATCATAAATTTCAAACACTGAAAGAAATATATTATCCATGGGATGGTAATAAAAATTTTAACATATCTTTAAAAAAACTCCAAAGAATGAGGAACACTAGGTAGTCATTATTTAACGTCAACAAAAATCAAAGTTCTAAAAGATTCTATGAGGAATACTAAAAAAAATTTCTAGCCTGTCCAAAAATATTCAGGATACAAGGTTGTGAGAAAATGTTTACACTGGTATATAAGATGGAAACTATCAAAATGAGTCATACTTAGTGAAAATCTTTTCTATGATGACTGCTCAGCATTTGAAGAAACAACTTAAATTTTAAAATGGTGAATTTCCAAACAAATATACAAAATTTTACACCCGCGACTGTGAGGATAAAAAGTTGTAGAATAATCCAACTGACTCTTCTAATAGAGACTTAATTATCTTACTTCTGACCCGAAGTCACAGAGGGATGCTCTTTTCCCCACATCCAAGACAGAGTGTCCAGAATTTCAGAGACAATGGTGCATGGGAAATGCCCAGGAGTCTCCTATGTGAGGGGTATCTAACTCCTTTCAGTGGAACACCTGTGAATTCTCCACAGGTCCAGTGCAGACTTTGCTGGGCAGGTGCCCTACCACTTGAGCCACTCCCCAGCCCTCCAATGTAAGCTTTGCAAAGTTGACCAGCACATTTATACAGCAACCCACCCACTGGCAAAAAAACTGAGATGCTTCTGTTGAAACCTGGAGTCTTATAAGTAGAATATAAAACTTTCTATCAGTTGTGCCTTGTCCCTGTTCTCCCTTTAAAGTCAGTTACTATTAACTTCTTTTACAAATCAGTCCATTTACTGCTGTCTACCTTTTATTGAATTCGCATACACACAACTGGCCCACTTTTCCGTGTCCTGAAGCATAAATGTGTTAATACACAGAAAGCCAAAAAAATCTTGGATTCAAGATAGATGTCCTGTGTTTGAGTCCCAGCTCTGCCATTTTCTAACAGTCTACTTTGAGCCTCAAATTTTTCTTCAGAATACAAATATTAATCCCTGACTTACATTCAGGGATGTGGGAACCAAACGCGTCAATGTAAGAGAACATGCTCCATAACTGTACAGTGTTAAAGAATGACAAAATAATTATATTGCTTGTACCTTCCATTGTCACAACTTATAGTATGTTCTGTCTGTTATCAGTACTTCTCAGTACAGGTGGTATTTATTTATTTACTTACTTATTTTAAACAGGGTCTCACTCTGTAGCCTAGGCTGGTCTAGAACTTGCAATCTTCCTGCCTTTGCCTCCCAAATGCTGGAATTACAGATATGCACCCCATGCCCAGCAACTATTATCTTTATCCCTAGGTAATTATTTTGTGTTTGCATTTTTTTTTTTTTTAGAAATGCTTAGAAAGTGAGTTAATGAAAGTTGACCTTTAATGGATGTTTGGAGGGGAACAGTGAGAAGTGGTGACAGTTTCTCACTTCAGTCATCCATAGACACAGGCCCAGTCTACCTTGGTTAACAAAAACACAGTTGTGAAAAAGGATGAAGGAAGGAAAGACACCATCTTTACATCTTTGAATTTAAGTCTACTTTCAAACAGGGAGATCAGAGCTAACTATAAAATAAATTCACCAAACATAATTTTAGTACAACAGTTCAGCTAAATGAAAGATGTAAACTACCACAGCAAGCCAACTTCACAGCCAACACTGATGGCTCTGTCAATGAATGGCAATGACTTTGTAACTATGTTTAAGGTTATAGATCTTGCAGTGGGGAAATTATCTTGGTGAATCCAATTTAGTCATGTAAGCTCTTAAGAGCAGGAATACTCTTTTGGATGCAGTCAGAAAAGATGTGATGACTGAAGGAATGTCAGTGAGATGTGAATTTGCTGGCTTTGAAGATGGAGGAAGGGGCCACAAGCCAAGGAATGCAGGCAACCTCTAGAAGCTGGAAAAAGCAAGGGAACAGATTCTTTCCTAGAGCCTCCAGAAAGGAACACAGCCTGCCAACACCTTGCTTTTAGCCAGAGAGACCTATATCAGACTTCTAACCTAGAGAACCTCTTTGTTGTTTTATGTCATTACATTCTTAGTAATTTTTACAGCAGCAGAAGAAACCCACACAGTTCCCAAGTACTTAAATATTTTGAACATTGCAAGGCAACTTTGTAACCTTGGCTCCCAGCACTTTGCTTAGCAAATAGAAATAATCAAGTGTTTAAAGAGTCAATGAACTTAACTTTCTCACATGTTCTTCCTCCTCATTGGAGAATAATTCTGTAATTTACCACCATCACTTTCATTATTTTTCTCTGCCCTTACATATAATTCCTTTCACCATTCAAACAGATACTTGGTATAATTCCCCCACCCCTTAATATGTTTCCTTAGCCAAACCATCTTTGTGACACAAATAATTATGAATTTTCGTTAACCAGCATATTCTGAAAATGGGTATTGTCAATTTGCACTATGAAAAAAATGTAAATTACTCATTTTGAAAAATCATAAAAAATAACACTTATTTCCTCAGAATTCATAATTATTGGAGAGAAACAAGTAGAGCTGAGGTACCATTATAAAATGTTGTCACTGTTTTAATAATATTTTGTCCATTGTTGGCTTCATTTATTTGTTCATTAAATATTCAGTGATATACAAAAGTACAATGTATTGGATATTATAAAAGTTTTTGAGTTAGAGCTTGGTATAGTGGTTCACATCTGTAACCTCAGCTACTCAGGAATCAGAGATTGGGAGGACCATAGGTCAAGGCCAACAGGTAAAAAGTTTGTCAGACCTTATCTCAACACATAAGCTCAGTATCATGGCACATGCTTATAATCTTAGCTACATAGGAGGCTTTAGGTAGGAGGATTGTGTGTGGTCCAAGGCAGGCCACAGGTAAAACCAAAAGTCCTATCACCGAAAGTAACTAAAGCAAAAAAAGGATAGGGTATGGCTCAAGTGCCTAGCAAGCATGAGTCTCTCAGTTCAAACTCCAGTAATCCCAAAAAAGAAGTTTTTTTCAGCTAACCCCAGATTAAGTGATCACATCAATTAATTACTCAATGATTATTTGTTGACCTCTTTTTTTTAATGACCGTATCATTGACTTAACCAAGAATAGTTAAATATATCCATGTTCAGGTACTATTTCTACATTCTCATATGATAGATCACTGGATCCTGAATAACACATTAGTGAAAGAAAAATAGAATAAATTATGGAACAATAAAAATGATAGAAATAATAATAAAGCCCAACTATTTTTGAGTACTTCCATGTGTCAGGTATAAAGTTCCTATGATAGACTGTCTCATTTCATCCTCATAGCCCTGTAGAATTTCCCTGGTTTTTTTTTTTTTTTGCATGGGTTTGAACTCAGGACCCACACCTTGAGCCACTCCACTTACCCTCTTTTGTGATGGGTATTTTTTGAGATAGGGTCTCCCAAACTATTTGCCTGGGCAAGCTTCCTGATCTCTGCCTCCTTAGTACCAAGGATTACAGCATGAGCCACTGGCACCTGGTTCCCTCTTACTTTAAAAACAAGGAAATTAAAATTCATAAAGACTGAGTACCTTGCCCTTGAGCACACAATTAAGTCCGCAAAGCATGGGCAAGCTGACTCTGGAGCCAAGCTCAAGTCTTCCTCTGGGGGCAACAAGGCAGGAGTGAAAGAGTAGAGGAAAAGATGAGATGGGAGTGAAACTCATCATGCATCTTGTTTTCCTTATGGTTCTATTTAATTTTATTTTCTTTTTCAAATTAAAAGATGCTCATAAAGAGCATAAAACTGAACCGTATAATACATAACAGGGCATTGAATTTATTCCCTAATATACTGTCAGACATCACAAGTGCCTCAAGACCATATTAGGAACTGAAAATAAGTAAAATAATGGTCCCAAGAAGAGGTGGAAAGAGAGTATGAGAATACAGATTCTTCTTTTTAACTAAAAGTTTTCCAATTTCAGCCCACTTTTCAACTAAAGCTTTGTGTTGACACTGGGAGAAAATTAAAAATAAAATTTATCTTGGCATGTTTACCTGCTTAGATGGACCAGTGCTCAAAATAATGGTATCACAGACAAAAACTAGAAACCTGCATAATTTGTGCAATATTAACTTCCAGAAGCTGTAGAGACACAATTCCAATGAATGGGATATTTGAGCAAAGTCTTGTTCCTACGTAAGACAAGACTATGCATTTAATAATGGCCTATATTTCTGTGTAATCATAAGGATCGGGAAAAAAGAGTTATCAATGTCCTCGGAGCTATTGATAAGCCATTCGAAGCAAAGGCAGGTAATACTTGGCATTTTTCAACTTATTATACTTTATATTCACACACAAGATAGCTACTAAAAAAGATAGCATTTTCTCATGCTTCTGTATTATAATGACTTGAAACTATCTCTTTCACAAGAGAATTTTCTGAAAGTAGAAAATTAAATAAGGCAATCATACCAGATGGTATTAAGAAAATCTAACATGATTTTCACTATAATCAATACCTCGAACTTAGATTTGAAAATCTAACTTTTAGTTTTTGGTTTTCAGTTTAAAAAAAGACCCAGTCAGAAATTCTAGGGTGTAGATGTAGTGCTAATAACTTAATAATTGATCAGCCTGCAGTCCTTATTGCCAGAGAGAACTTTTCTTTTTGTTTGTTTTATTATTCATATGTGCATACAATGCTTGGGTCATTTCTCCCCCCTGCCCGCACCCCCTCCCTTACCACCCACTCCACCCCCTCCTCTCCCCTCTACCCCCTCAATAGAGAACTTTTCCTGATCATCAACAGATCCTGAACTGGTATCCAAGAGGAAATCTAAGTGGTGTATTAACCTTCGCAAAACAGAAGCACTTTGAAACCTGTCTAGGAAACACAGACTACAAATGTTGCTTCTAAAAATATGATATATATGGTCACATTCACTAAACAATAGGATATATATGACCAGGCTCACTTAATCGTCTTTGAATATATAACTTGGGCCAACTCTTCCTTCCTTCCTTCCTTCTGGCTTTCCTTCCTTCCTTCTTTCTTTCCTTCCTTCTCTCCTTCCTTCCTTCCTTCCTTCCTTTCTCTTTCTTTCTTTTCAATCTATCACTTTCTTCCCACCCAAGTCCTTTGCCACCTGTAAATTATATTTGAAAATTTTATGTCAGCTAACTATCCCCAAAATGAATCCTCATGTTTCCACATTTTCCTAATAATTTATTCTTCAAGGTTCATCAATATAGTTATAAAAATGAAATGGTTATTTGTACTGTGTTGTCACCGCCCCCCCAATCCAAGAAAAATGAACAGAAAATACTTATAATGGTTCTTAGCCAGGAGCATTTTATCCCTTATTCACTAGTGGTAAATGAGTCAGATATGAGTTGGCCAGGAAAAGAGCTGCTTTACCCAAAATCTTAGTATGAAATGAGTCATCTCACTCCAAACACCAATATATCCTCCAAAATAACTGGCAAGAATTTCCTATAAAAAGAATCTTGCCTTCACTCTTTTCCATCCATTTTGCTTTCTGATTTTTTCTAATTTTTCAATTTCCTGTGTGCTTACAACATTGCACCCTTAACAAAGGCCCAGGCACATTTCCACCTCTTTCTCTTACTTTGAAAGTCATCGTATTCTATGATTATGGGAATATTCTGATAGCGTTCCTCTGGAAAGATAAGTGCTTTGTGACTTTCAAGGTCTCTCTGTCTCTCTCTCTCTCTCTCTCTTTCTCTCTCTCTCTCTCTCTCATGAAATTTATGCATGGTTCAACTGAAATGGAAGAGCCAGTTCTAGAAGAATTTTTCTTTTCCTCTGTTGAAAAAAGGAGTTCAAAGATATAAAAAAAACTTTCAAGCAAAACCATTTTTCTTCCTACAAGAAAAATCAATCACAATAACTATAATCGGTCTAAAACTGCTAAATAATATGATGCCAGGCTACAAGCTTCAACTCTACTTTCTTGCACATTAGGACATTACCATTCACATTCTCTTTTTGCAATCCAATGAATCTTAAAAATCACTGTGGACTGAAGCTGGGGTTAATTCCTAAAGATTACCAGGAGCCAAGCACACTATTTACCTGAGGATAAACAAGCAAGCTTATAGTGCCAATTCTTGCCAAAATGCTGAGATTTTTATATTACTAGGGGCTCATAACATCACTTATTATTGTCAATTACTCTAAGCTCTGTAATTCGTTTCACTCAGGTTGGAATTCAGCCTCATTTTTCTATATGAAATGAATTTCTAAAGAATAGCTATGCTCCTTTTATATCCAACGCTAACAGATGTTAGTTTCCTTGGTTTTATGGCCCTCAGATGACAGACAACTAACTGTTTTTGGCCTTGGGAATAATTGCAACACCTTTGGATTATGAACTTGGTTCAGTTCTTAGCTAGGAACAGCAGGGGGTTAGTTCGTATTATCAAAGACGTAAAGTTAGTTTCCCATTATGCTCCAGAAATCTAAGAAAATGCTTTCTAATTCAATAATATGCAAGTGATTGTAGTAAGAGAAAAAAATTGCATAAAAATGAAATCTCTCATTCAGTTTATCTATTGCACTTGGCCAAAACAAGATGTTAAATCCATTAAACTCTGAGCATCCAGTAAAAGCAAGAAAAGCTAGACCTGTTCAAATTTGTGCATTCTTGGGAAACTTGCCAACCTATGTACTAGTAGCAGGATCTGTGTAATTAATGGTCATGTTATTGACGGAGGGAATATGATTTCCTTCTCAGAAGCAATTTAAGACTGCAAGCTGACAGAGCTTTAGCAGAACCTCACCTGATTCACTTTTCCCTAAAGGAAATGTGACCTTGAAGTTAGCAATAGAAAGCACCAATGTTAATGCCTATTTGTGTTGGTTTTGGTCATAGTAGATTTTAAAGACATCCTGAAAGTACGATTGTCCATACAAGGGGATAATAATGTGCAAACCGACAAAAACTTCCTAAGAAAAACCCAGCAAATTCCATCTTAGGGTAGCCTTATTGTTTTCCCAGGAAGCTATATTCATATGAAAACAGTGTGAGATTAAATCCTTCTATAACGTAAAATGAAATCAGACTCAATTCCACATAGTCCATTACACACGTTTATCTCCTTTGCAGCAACTTCCATCATTATCCAGTGGTTGGCCCTCAAGAACAATCACAGGAGTGTGTATGCATTTGGCTGTTGACCAGCATTATATCTAGCTTCTACTCTCCTCTTTTCCCTTTGTTTTGAAATTAGGAATTTCAAAATGATGAGAAGAAGAAAAAGAACATCTGGAAAAACAGATATAACTTGGGAAAGAAGGTAAGTCCATAAGCAGCTCTTTCTATAATGATCTGCACTAAATTACCCAACAAGGAGTGATTTTTCTCAACGTGTATCTCATCCCTTCTATTTCTCTGTGACTCACAACCCACATGTTCCAGGTCTGTTGTCTTCTGAGGAAGAATGAAATAATTTAATTCCCCATAGGCTAAAGCATGTACTTGCTATAGCATCAACAGGTGGAGGACACAGGTGGAGAAAAACCAGTAGGAAGGTTCATGAATGCCAGAGATGAGTCTGGATATTCCTGACCGCCATGATTCCCCACACTGGATTCATACCTGCTGTCATCCTGAGCAAAGGGCTGTTCCACATCCACTGTCAGGGAGGCTAGAGCGGAAACGGTCTCTGTCTCCTCTTGTAACTGAGCACCAGGCAAAGCACACCCCCTTGGCACAGCCACCATCCTTACCGACTTCCAGTACTTGCCTAGAAAAAACATCCATCATACTTTACAGGAATTTAATTTAGAGCAGTAGTAATCAGAATACTCATATAGGTCCAACTCAGAGCAGTTGTTAAGTTAAAATCTCCGTGTTATACAGTTGTAATTTGGTTTCTTACATGCTCTGATTGTCTTTTTTTTTAAATCTAAGAATGCCAAGTTATGAAGTACTCATTCCTAAGCCAGAATCTCTCTCCTGCTTAGAAGGTAATAAAGTGAAGAGCAATTCATGGTCTAATGCATTCACTAACAGACTGACAGCTGTCTCTATAACTAAGTAAGCAAACTCTAGGTCTCCTGCCTCTTGGGAAATCCTCAAGAGACCTGGATATAGAAGTCTTCTGGACAGAATGATTGAAATAGTAATGTTAAAAATGCTACTTGAACCATTAACATCTTTAAATGAAGTTGGACTATTAAAGAAAAAGGAAAACCTCAGCAATGCCAGCATGAATTGGATGGCAACTTTGCCAGAACAATCAGGTTTGTTAGTCCTGGATGTTCTTTCTTTCTCAACCTCAGGGTGTGTACTAGAACAATAATTGATTTAAAACTTTAATATATACACTGGCTGAAGTTGGAATCCATCCACATGTCATACTGAGGAAAATGTAAGGTCATTTAATGAGAACATGCCAGTGGGATAAATATGAAAGAGAAGAGTCAAAAGCCTTCCTTTAGCCCCTAAGTGATTTTGTGTGTATGTGAAGTGTTGAGTAGTCCCAAATAAAAGCAGGAGAATCTCCCTAGGTGTTGATGTAACTCACCAGGTTACAACAATTTCTGCAGCCTGACCAATTGAATGGGAACTTGGCATGCAAAGGGTTGCTTACTTCAAAAAAATAAAAAAGCAAAGAATCTTGCTTGAGTGCAAAAGGCAGATAGATGAATATAGGATTGCAGAGTATGATGGCAGGTGGCTTTTGGACTCAGTCCTCCCTCTGGCCATCATTATCATTTTGCAAGACTTACTGGGATTTTATTTCTGCCTTTTAAAAATAGGGGGTGGACTGTAATATTTTATGATTAGCCTTTCTTCATAAAGGACTGAATGTCATATTTCAGAAGAGTTGGTCTAACTGTCCATTCCTCATGCCAACAGAACCTTCTGCCATTGATAATCAGTATTACTTTACTATTCCAACCAAAGTCTGAGAATCCCAGGCTTTTTATTTAAACCAAACAGTAACAACCCTGTTGATGAATTCACAAATTTTTTTGAAAGTTAATTCTGTGTACAGTCTAATTGGGACAGTTCTATTAATTAACAATGACAATTCTGTGTGTAAAAGGTGTATGTGCTCCTTGAAAGGAAACACATAGAGCATTTATTTATGGTGATGACAAAGAAAGGGAAAACTTATGAGAAAGCATGACACTGGATCAAGTATTTGAAAGAGAAGCAAAAGTTCGTCAAGGTATAATAGAAGGAGATGGTGATGCTGGGATCTCCCTGAAAAAAAAAAGACAGTATATACAGATGTATAGCGATCAGCACCTCTGAGGTTATTTGTGACTGTCAACTGTTAAGTACAACTGGAACACAGGAAGACTCTGGAGCATAATGGAGGAGACCATTGCAGTAGGCAAGGGCTAATTAACACACAGTCTTGAATGCCATGCCAATGATCTTGGACTTCAACCTGCAGATGATACGAGGCCATTGTAAGCAGAAGAGGTTTATAGGGTGTGTTTTAAAGATCTCTATAGAGAGATAATGGATGATGGATTGGAAAGCAGTGAAGGTGGTGTCAGGAAAATTGATTTCATATCATGGCAAAAGGTAGGAAATGATATCTGAACTAAAAGGAAGTAATGGTATCAAAATAAGAAGATACTGAAATAGGTTTAGGAAGTAAGCAGTGGAGATGTATCATGGTTTATTCTGTAGCGCCCTCCACATCTGTCAACTTTGAAAGCTCAACCTGAATTGTCCATTCCTAGTCACTTATTTCTCTAGATCACTATGTCATTGCCATCTTAGTCAAGTCAGAAATTTTATATTCCATTATTAAATAAATACAGTTGTAATGAGTTTCAGCAAATATCATTATTAAACATTATGTTAGCCCATGGTATTCACAAAGTTAGTGCAACAAACACTTACTTTTAAATGATATGGCCTTTTATTTTCAAGTACTGTACATTTTCCTTCAAGTTAGAGCTCTTAGCCATATAGCCAAAACACATATTTACTCCACAAGATGATAAGCACAAAGGTATAAATTGTTACAAACAATCTTTAAGAAGAATGACTGACAATGATCCTTTAAATTTTTCCTCTATGTAGATACCTGAGCAAGCAGGAAGGATTTTAAATAGCTGACACCTTCTTGGAGAAAATTTAATTTGTTTAAAATATTCTTCTTCTAAGAATGAAATGTTATCATTCGTAGGTAGCTGGATGGAACTAGAGAACATCATTCTGAGTGAGGTTAGCCTGGCCCAAAAGACCAAAAATCATATGTTCTCCCTCATATGTGGACATTAGATCAAGGGCAAACACAACAAGGGGATTGGACTTTGATCACACCATAAAGCGAGAGCACACAAGGAAGGTATGAGAATAGGTAAGACACCTAAAAAACTAGATAGCATTTGTTGCCCTCAACACAGAGAAACTAAAGCAGATACTTTAAAGCAACTGAGGCCAATAGGAAAAGGGGACCAGGAACTAGAGAAAAGGTTAGTTCAAGAAGAATTAACTTAGAAGGTAACACACATGTACAGGAAAGCAATGTGAGTCAACTCCCTGTATAGCTATCCTTATCTCAACTAGCAAAAACCCTTGGTCCTTCCTATTACTGCTTATACTCTCTCTTCAACAAAATTAGAGATAAGGGCAAAATAGTTTCTGTCTGGTAGCGAGGGGTTAGGGGAGAGAGGGAGGGGGCTGTGTGGGTGGTAAGGGAGAGGGTGGGGGCAGGGGGAAGAAATGACCCAAACATTGTATGAACATATGAATAAAAAAAATTCTTCTTCTAAGTTAAGATTAAATAGTAGAAGTTTGACTTTAATCCAAATTTGTGAGTTACTGACATAGAAATAACCCAAACATTAAATTCAATATGGCCTCTGGCAAAGTCTATAAAAATGGAGAAACTATTCTACATTAATAATGCATTTGTAGACCACTATCTCTATTCATAAAGGAGCATAATTAAAATGGAAGTAGGTATAACATAGACTGTGCAATATATGGCCAAATCAAACCCTATGATTTATTAGTTACATTTTCATATGATATATAAGGATTGTTTCTTTCCTTTGAGAAACAGATGTGCAAGAAAATCATATCTATTGGCCTGGGAATAATAACACCATTAGCACATAAGAGAAATGAACCAAGGTTTACTACTAGAGTTCTCAGGAGCTGCTATTCATAAAGTAAAATATTACCAACTAGCCACCACTGGGTTTTTCTCTTATGGCAATAAAACTGGCAAAAGAGAGAAGTTTTCCATTATAACTGGATGTGCACACTCCCTCTTCAGTCATATCCTTTATCCTTATTCGTTTTTCCCACCATGTAAATCTTCCCACTTTTCAACACTTTTTTTTTAAAGGACTATGCACCCTTCATCATTCTACATTTTTGTTTTATCTGGCAAGGGTAAAGCAAAGAATGAATCTACAATAAAGGCTTAAAGTAGGTAGTGGAATGCAGACAGTCCAAAGCCAGAGCTGAGAACCATGGGTGGAATTTCACTCGATCAAACAGGAGCCAAGAGTGGGCACCTTGCAGGTACTGTGTAGTGAGTGAGATTTAGGAAAAACCATATTGTTCTTGGTAATGGACAATTTGGAAAAAATAAGTAGTTGTTGATGTGAATGTCTCTGTTAGAAACAAACCAATGATCAAAAGTTTTCCCAATCAAAATCCCTTATCAGTTTGATAGTTATAACCTCCCCTCTCCATTATCATTTTGAAAACCTCAGTGCCACTTCTTCTCAATTGTGTTTTTTTTTAAATCTTCTTACCATTTCATCATTGCATGCAATGTTTTCAAAGGAAAAAGAGATGGTGCTAACCTATACCAGTTTCTGTCTTCTGTCAACATCTAGAGTTTATGAGGGATTCTCTACAGTTCCTTGATACTTCTTTTAAGAAATATATTTAAAAGCTAAATGGAGACTTTTATCAGGATCCAAAACAGTGTGTAGATACAAAAGTAATGATGCATTAAAATTGGTATGAGCAGTTAATTTTTCATTCAAATTGGGGCAATTTTGAGGTAAATGGGGCTAATACAAAATGATACCTATTCAAACTATTCCTGGAATATGGAGTAAAGGAGTATGATGGAGGGGACTATGATATGTTTGATATATTGTAAGAACTTTGTAAATGTAACAATGTACTCCTAGCACAATAATAATAAAATAATAATAAATTTGAATAAATAAAAAAGAAAAAAACATGTTATAGAAATATTTATTTGTCAACATTATTTTTATTTGTGGACCAATGAAATAGTGTAATTCAAAATTTATTTTGAGTGGCAGGCATGGAGGCTCACACTATAATTCTAGCTACTCAGGAGGTGGAGATCAGGAAAACTGAAGCTGGAGATCAGCCCAGGCAAAAAAGGTTCGCAAGATCCCACCCATCTCAGACAACAGCTGGGCCTGATGGCATGTGCCTCATATTCTGGAAGCATAAACAGGAGGATCATGGTCCAAGTCAGCCCAGGGAAAAATGCAAGACCTTACTAAAAAAAATACCTGAAGTAAAAAGGGCTGCAAGTGTGGCTCAAGTGGTAGAGCATCTGCCTGGCAAGTGCAAGGTCCTGAGTTCAAACCCTAGTACTATAAAAAAATAAAATAAAATTTCACAAATCATGTAGGCCAAAACATGTAAAACTTCTTTATATTATTTATCTGAAAATTAGAAAATAACACAAGCAAAATTATGCTTTTTGATAGATATTCACATATGTTAATCAGTTTTGTGGCTATATCTCACACTTATGGAATATCAGTG